AAGCGCCGCTGCCAGCTCGCCCGCTGTTTGCAGGCGCCGACTTCCTCTGCAGCGCGTGCGCGCCGCGGGGTGATTTCAGGACAAGCTTTCGGGCTCCTCTCGGCGCCGGCTGTGAGCTTCACCCGGGCTCGCCACTTTCACTGCTCGAGCGCAGCCCGGTTCCGGGAAATCGCTCTCGTGTAGCACCGGAACCTTGTGTCTGGTGTGGCTGCAGCGCCTTGGAAGGCTATTTCTTGGGTAGAATGTGGTGACTTTGAAGGAGCTGCCTGTTTCCTGTGTCTGCATGTGTTTGCCCAGAGCCCAGCACGGTGGGAAATTTAATGTTCAGAGCAGTTTGGCTGTTTACGGACTCCTTAAACTGGATTTTTTTTAAAACCTTGAGGCATCCTTTAAATCGAGATGATTTGTCAGGTGGATGAGTATTCTAGAGATTTGATAAATGCCTGATTTTCAGATCCCTCCTACTTAATGTTTGTGCCACCCACGTTGTGTAAACATTGTGCATTATGTACACAGTTGTATATCTGCATGGCACTAGGGACCTAGTAAAATTAATGGCAAAGTCTCATTGACTTTCAATATAATGCCATCTAATCTGATTTAAGTTTTTTTTTTATTAATAGGAACTATCATTGCAGTATCTAAACATGGTCCCTAACAATTAATAATCTAAAGGCTTGATTCTGCTTTCCTCACACAACCACTGCTCTAGTTGATTTTGTTTAGTGCTTTAGATGTTCAAGAATTGGAGGAGTGGACCCTTTTGTTATTACTCATTTTATATGAGGGAAAGGGAATATAAGTGTTAGAGCAACAACTTGTGGCTGTTAGGGTTATTACAGCACACACAGTGAACATTTGCAAAACTTGTTTCCATTTTCAGTGAAGAAAAGGTCAGGGTTTTTAGCCTTCCCCCTCCCAGTACAATAATGCAGTATTTGCTTATGTAAACAAGTTTATTTTTGGGTTACTCTCCCATACCAAAATTCCCTAATAATATCTGCCTCATATACAGTATAGTGCAATGACGCAAACAGCTGTGTTGCTGTAAACTCTCTAATGTAGTGGCTCTTAGCTGACAGGAAAGCATTCTGCTCTCAGCTTAACAACTCCATCCCCTCTGCAAGCAGGTATCTGTGGGAGAAGTGCCACTCTGGTACTTACGTTAGTGTAATTTATGTCGTTCAGGTGGGTGATTCATTCGCACCCTCAGTAATAAAGTCCACATAATCTGTAGTATGGATGTAACCTGAGTTGGCAGCAGACTTATGTTTGGAATTTGGGAGTCCTTGACTCTGTACTTATCTCATGTTTCTAAAGTATAGTAAATATTAGAGTGATGATAAATAAAACCCTCAAATAAAGCCAGAAAATGGCCCTCACTAAACAAAGAGGGAGTGGAGTCATTTTGTGTGTGTCTGTATCTGTGTGTGCTGAACATCTTTATTCAGAACAACAACATAATCCAAGAAAGTTAGTTTGGACATTTGAGCTGCCTGTGTCAGTTCCTTTGCAGTGAGTCATTCTTCTTCTGCAAAGCTATTTGGAGTTGGAGAGGAGGAAGATAAGATGTAGTCTGGGGAAGGAGGGGAAGATTTGCATATTGAATAACTGAGTTGTTTTTTAAAAAACCCTTGTATTGGACATATGATGAGTTTCAAGAGACCTTTGTTATAAACAAACAATATGTGAGCTGTGGTAATTATGTTTTCGACTTATCCTAACAGCTAATGATCTGATTGTCTTTAGGTTGACTTTGTGGACCTATATGAATCTATACGGGAAAGACAGCGTCATGACAGCGAAAGATCTACATGTAGCACCTTAGAGCAGAATGACATAGAAGCAGTGGAGGCACTTGTTTGTATGAGCTCCTGGGGTCAAAGATCACAGAAAAGTGACCCATTAAAGATAAGGCCACTGACACCCATCTCAGATTCAGGTGACTTCACAATGCATGCTGAAGCTGCCTCTGAATTACCAAAGGATTATCACTTTTTGTCTACACTGGTAAGAAGAAAACTAATTCAAAATGAATATGCATGGCTACAGATACGTTTATATTATTACTAATCTGTCCTCATTATATTGGTTAACTTTTTTGTATTTGGGGAGAGAGCAATATCTTTGTTTTTTAAATATTGGTTACTGTCAAAAGTAATTTTAGCTGCCTAACTTTTCTGTTTATGGAAACAACAAATTGTCTGGTAATACTTTGTTAGTCTTTAAAGTGCTACCAGACTATTTGTTGTTTTTTAAAGTTTTTCCTATTACAGACTAACTTGGCTACCCCTCTGAAGCTTTTGTCTGCTTGTGTAATTACTATTTGCATCTAAAGTATGCATTTCTCAGTTTGGATAATTCCACCATCTCTTTGGCAATAGATATGATGATACAAACAAAATGTTTTGATCTTCTATTTAAATCTCAAGTAGAAAAATTTTGTTCAGGTGTTCATTTTAACTGATGTCCTGGGAAAGCTTGTTTGGATAGTTTATTATAGGTTTCTCCTGGGTATTTTGAGTAAGAGGATTGCATAGTGAAGCTCAGTGACTCTGTATTGATTTACCTGCAAAGGTAATACAAAAAATTATTGGATTGAAGAACAAATGTTAGACACTACGATAAAACATAAAAACAAGTTGAAATTTAACTTGCCACTTCATTCCCTGGGCCTGTGTGTTTGGACATGCAGCTGATGATTTCTCAAAGTTCTGGTCCATTTCAGATGACAGTTGATTCTCAGGTAGCTGGGAATGAAGTAGAAGCAGACTGTGCAGAACTTCAAGACAGAAGCAGACTGTGAAGAACTTCAAAAAGATCTCACAAAACTGAGTGATTGGGCAACAAAATGGCAAATGAAGTTTAATGTGGATAAGTGTAAAGTAATGCATGCTGGAAATAATAACCCCAACTATACATATATTATGATGGGGGCTAATTTGGCTATGACAAATCAGGAAATAGCTCATGGCGTTATCGTGGATAGTTCTCTGAAAACTTCCACACGGTGTGCAGCGGCGGTCAAAAAGGCAAATAGAATGTTAGGAATTATTAAGAAAGGGATAGAAAATGAGACACAGAATATCTTACTGCCCCTGTATAAAACTATGGTACGCCCACATCTTGAGTACTGTGTACAGATGTGGTCTCCTCACCTCAAAAAGATATTTTGGCCTTGGAAAGGGTTCAGGAAATGGCAACTAAAATGACCAGGGGTTTGGAACATGTCCCATATGAGGAGAGGCCAAAGTGACTGGGACTTTTCAGTTTGGAAAAGAGGAGACTGAGGGGGGATATGATAGAGGTATATAAAATCATGAGTGGTGTGGAGAGGGTGAATAAAGAAAAGTTATTCATTAGTTCCCATAATATAAGGACTAGAGGACACCAAATGAAATTAATGGGTAGCAGGTTTAAAACTAATAAAAGAACGTTCTTCTTCAGACAGCGTGTAGTCAACCTGTGGAACTCCTTGATAGAGGAGGCTGTGAAGGCTAGAACTATAACAAAATTTAAAGAGAAGCTAGATAATTTCATGGAGTTTAGGTCCATAAAAGGCTATTAGGCAGGGGGTAGGAATGGTGTGCCTGGCCTCTGTTTGTCAGTGGCTGGAGACAGATGGCATGAGACAAATCGCTTGATCATTGTCTTTGGTCAACCCCCTCCGGGGCACGTGGTGCTGGCCACTGTTGGCAGACAGGCTAACGGGCTAGATGGACCTTTGATCTGACCCAGTGTGGCCATTCTTATGTTCTAATGGGTGACAGAGAATGGATCCCTTGATGGTTATCTGTTCTGCTTGTTCCCTCTAAAGCACCTGGCAGAGGCCACTGTCAGAAATGGGATACTGATCTAGATGGAACTTTGGTCTGACCCAGTATGGCCGTTCTTATGTTTGTTATGTAGGTATTGTTGCAGTTGATATAAAAAAAAAACTGAAGAAAAGCCAATTTGCTTAAATCTTTCAGAGTATTAAGGACTTTGGTCTTAGTTCATTTGTAGAATAAAAGTTTACTGGATAAGACAGTCTTCCTCCTCCATTGGGCATTCATCACCCCCTCTCTATCTTAGGTCATATTCCCATCTCCCAACAGTAGCTGCAACAGGGGAGGGAAGAGTGAGAAATGGCTGAAGAAGAGAGGGGAGAGCAGTTCCAATCACATCAATTCCAAGATGAGCTACCAGCTGGTAGAATAATAATTAATAAAAGGTTTAGGTCTCTGTGCAAATCTGCAATTAAGCAGGGATAATGTCACTATGAACCACTGCCCTATTTTCTAAGAACAGTGAACTGCATGTAAATAGATGCGTCCATTATCTGAGGAGTGAAAATGGGCATTGGAACCTAAAAAGCTGACACATGCAGTATTGAAGGATGACATCTGTGTCACTGTTCGCATGATGCTAGCAAGCTTTGCCCTTTCCAGAAGGGCTACTCGATAAGAAGTTAATGTTTTGGTCATAGCTTCCTAAAAGATGTCTTTAGACTCTTGATAACACTCTAGATTTGTGGTGTCCAATATGCTGGCCACTAGCCACATGTGGCTATTTGGCTGGTTGAATGTGGCTATTTGTCCAGTTGAGTGTGGCTAGTTCGCTATAGCAGTAACTGGCTGGACACCACGGCTCTAGATCTTCATCATGTGTTCTTTATTTTTAAAGTAAGGTTAATAACTAGTATACAAACACATTACTGTTTTTCTTTTATTTTTCTAGTGTATGACCCCCCCTCACAGCCCTGATTTTGTTGAGCCATCAACTACAATGCTCCTTTCTTCACAAGTTACTTATTCCAAACCAAGAACAGTCACAACAAATACACCTGTTTGTGTAGTCACCCCTACAAACTGTGCATCCGCAATAGCCAAATCTTCTGTCATAAACATGGAGAGGCAATCCAGTCGGAAGTCAGCAATATCTGAACCACCTGCTCCTCAACCTTGCAGGGCAATGGCAACCAGCGTGATACGTCATACAGGCTATAGTTCCGCTTATCCCCACATTCCTGCAGTGCAGGTTAAAACAAAGGTAACTTCAGGTAATTGCAGTACTTCAACTGACTGGTGTGAAGCACAAGACGAAAGACATTCCAGACTTTCTGAGGACATGATTACAGCTGATGGTTTAATTACTGATACTTCACCAGTACCTCAGCCTTATTTGCATAACTCTAGTTGCAATGCTACTAATAAAGGGCAACAGCCAATACGACCTGTTTCACCACAGACTTCTTTACCAAAGAATTGTGACAACTACCTACCAAAAAAAGCCACTCAGCTGCTACCTGCCCCTGTTTCAAATCCCCAAGTCATCTGCCAAATGATTCCTTTTAGCAGGCAAAGAAGTATGATTTCTGCCTTTATAAAACCCCCTACGCAGACTGTCGCGACTACTGTCCAGCCTATTTTACCCCAAACAGCCTCAGTTTCTCAGCCTGTTCTCATGGGACCTTCTGTGCCTCAGGGTACTGTCATGTTGGTTCTTCCACAGACTGCTGTTGCACAGACACCACAGTGCCAACAAACTGTAATGACTGTTGGAAACACCAAGCTATTGCCTCTTGCTCCTGCACCAGTTTTTCTCTCTTCTGGTCAAAGCTGTGCACCTCAAATGGACTTCTCAAGAAGGAGAAATTATGTTTGTAACTTCCCAGGCTGCAGGAAAACATACTTCAAAAGTTCCCACCTCAAAGCCCATCTTCGTACTCACACTGGTGCGTATGAAGGGCAACTGCTTTATTACAAGAAAATACATTGTATGGTTGGAAGAATGTTGTTCTGCATTTTGATTCTGAGAGGGGCAAGTGGGTGGCATGGAAAACTTCCCACGTGTTGTGGGAGAGTAGAGGATAATCTTCAAAGACAGACAGAAAAGGGACAATTTTTTTTCCTGTAACCTAGACCACAGATTAACTTCATTGACATAAGTGGAATTGCTCATAGTACCATTTCAAACAAAACTTAGCCCAAAATATTTTTTTAAACTTGAAGGCTGTGTCTACATTGGCGGGGAATTCTTGCATAAGAACACTGATGTTCTAATGTGTGAAATCAGTGCTTCTTGCACAAGAACTATGATGTTCCTGCTCAGGAAAAAACCCTCTTGTGCAAGAAAGCCCAGTGGCTAAAATGGCCATCTGAGCTTTCTTGCACAAGAGAGCGTCTACACTGGCACGGATGCTTTTGCGCAAAAGCACATGCCAGTGTAGACGCTCTCTTGCGCAAATACTTTAACGTAAAAACTCTTGCGTTAAAAGTATTTGCGCAAAATCTTGCCAATGTAGCCGTAGCCGAAGTGTTCTGCATTTAATATGATGTGAAGGAATTACATAAACCAATTTTTTTGGGCGGTGTGAGTTATGGCACATCATATACTACAAGCTGTTTTTGTATCTGTCATTTTTGTTTCATCATGCTATTCATAACAGACTCTACTTCATATACCTGTTAAGATAGCAGGGAATGGTATATTTTTTTTCTAGTTTTTTGCATTATGACCTAAGCTCCTTAGCTGCATGGCCAAGCAACTGCACAACTGCCTTAGAAGCCTCATGCAAAGGCTCAAAGCAGCCACACAGAGTACTGCCTCAGCCTGCTAGCTCTGGCATTGAGCTGCCATAGCTAAGGCAGAAACACCCCTCCCCACTGGTATAGTGGGTTCCTGAGCTATCCTGATGCAGTTCAGGCTGGCCCAGGGATCAGGGCAGTGTGCTTTAAAGCTTATATTTTGGCTGGCTTGAAAAGAAACTGTACATCCCCTGTAGTGTGATGATGACTGCAGCATGAGTCTCAGGAGCTTGTGTACACTGGCCTAACCATGACCTTTGACTAGAAAATAACCAGCAGAAGGCCAAGGGGGAACAATAGATGATCTTCTCCTGCTCCCCATTACTCCTGCTTTGAGAGAGCCCTTAATATGTAAAAATGTTTTTTAGTGCTTCCTTCTTGAATGGTGTAAACATTTTTCAGATCTATCTGTAAGTGTATTTTGGATATCAAACCTTATATCTCTGGCCAAAAGTGAGTAATAGATCACTTGCTATTAGAATAGCTCTAAAATTGTGTGCTTGTGTAACTATTAAACTCCTAGATAGTAATAAGAAACTAGCAATGGTAATGTTAAAACTCTGAGCATGCACATACATTCCTTGAGCACCCAAAATGATCATGGAAACCAATGGGGATTTTAGATTGTGAAAGGAATCATCCCTTGCATTAATTGTGTTACATTTTATGCCTTGTGTGGCATGTAACCTGTGTTTGGAATTGATGAATTGCCCAAATCAAATGATAAACATAGCTCAGCAAATGATGCAAAATATTAGTAATTATGTTCTTAATAGTTGTTAGAAATTGAATTGCTATGTTCTTTTGAAGAATTGAGCATCTTATTATGACACTGGCATCAAATTCAAGATGTTATTTTAGGTTATTGTATGATATGGCATGGCCTCTTATTTCCAATAGTGTTGTTAGAGGGGTTAATGTCTCAAAATTTATGGTAAAAAGATATTGTAGATATATGAACAAATATTTTCCTCTAAACTCTGAATTGTTTGGTAACATTTTTTTTTAAATGTTGTTGAATCAGAAAATTAAGAAAAGCAATACATGTATTATTGTCTAAGCAGGGATTCTCAAATTGGAGGTCATGATCTGTCAGGAGGTTATAAGTTATTACGTGGCAGGGAGGTTGGCAAACTCTCTGCCTCCACCTCCAACCCCTGCATTTTATCCAGCATTTACAATAGTATTAAATATTAAAGTCTTTTTAATTTATAAGGGAGGGGAGTCGCACTCAGAGGCTTGCTATGTGAAACAAGTAATCAGTACAGAAGTTTGAGAACCATTGGTCTAAAACCACAATACAGCAGCTACATAAGCACATGTTTAATCTTATGGAATTACTCACATGCATAAAGTTAAATATGAACATAAGTGGCTGCAAGGCTAGAGTTTGAATTATTAATTCTTAAAACCATGCTCTGTTTCTATCAGCACAAATAAACTTTTGTTTTGCTTTTCCCCATATCCAATTAGGAGAAAAACCTTTCACCTGTAACTGGGAAGGCTGTGACAAAAAGTTTGCCCGTTCAGATGAACTTTCTCGCCACCGAAGAACTCATACAGGAGAGAAGAAGTTCGCTTGTCCTGTGTGTGACCGTCGTTTCATGCGCAGTGATCACTTGACAAAACATGCACGTCGTCATATGACTACAAAGAAAATACCCAGTTGGCAGGCAGAAATTGGCAAACTGAACAGAATTGCTACAGCCGAGAAAAGTAAAAGTGGTGGTGCATTGAGCATGATTATCCCCATGCCAGCCTCTGCCCAAGTGAGCTAGTTGGACAAAGAATCTGCTCTCAGAACTTTCTAGAAGTCAGGAAGAGCTACAGTGGTTAAAACCGAATTGACAGTGTCTTAATTTCTATTCATATTTGCCTCAATAGGGTGGAAAAGAGGTATGTAATTATTTTCTTCAGTTTAGGCTCTATTCATATGATATTTGAACTATTCATATGAACTCGATTGTGTGTCTCTTTTCTTTGGTTTCAAGTTTATTCAAGAATTGGGTGGCATCCACACTCACCAGCACTTCAGGAAAGCAGAACTCTTTGGAAATAGATTAGGTACTAAAGTATTAAAAACAAAACCAACACGCACTTGAGTAACACTTGCTATTCATATTTGATACAAAGTGAAACAAGGTGATTTTTTTAATGTTTTATATAGTAATATTTTCTATACAAAATACACTTTGTATTTATTCAGGTAGGGCTCAGCCTGCAGTCATTGAAATTACCTGCATAAGGAAAGATGTGCAAAATCAGGCCCTTTTTTAGAAACTGCTTTTCACTAATCCTCGAGAAACTTAATTTAAAACATTTTATAAACATATAACCCTTGGGTAACTCAGAATGTTTTGGAAGTTTACCCTGATCCATCAATCAGTTTGTACAGTTGAACCCTCATTCAGATGAGATTGCAGCAATGGGACTTAGAAACCTGTTGCCATTTGCAAAAAAAGTCTCTAGGAATAAAAATGTGCTTCTTGAAACCCACAAAAATTAATTAAATTAGGATCCTCAAAGGAAAAAGAAATTGCATTGAATGTGTTTCATAAATTCTGATGTGGAAAGGCCGTGTGTGTGACTTGATGTGGAAGCTTAAAAGCGAGTGAGTGAGCTCCTGATTTAGTTTTTGATCTGACTGAACAAAGTTTGGGAAAACAAAACTATTCAATTGGGTGCACAGGTACAACTATTTCTGAAGAATTTTGCCACCAGTAAGCGATTTTTTTTACATAAGTCCTGCTGACATTAATATACTGCTATTACTGAAAACACAAAACTGGTAGATGGTGACAAAACAATGATTATGTAGTAAACTGGATATCTCTTTGTATGTTCTCTGCTTTTAAAATTGTAGGGTGTTTTTATACAGCATTTAATTCTTGCACACCTAATAATGGATTATTCAAGACCAGTTTGTGTATCAAAATCATACCCCAAAATCTAATTTAAATATAGCCACTTGGTTAAACTGATGAGCCTCTTCTTACAGCAATGGTTCTCAAAGTGTGGTCTATGGACTACTAGTGGCCCATGACCATCTTACAGGTGAGCCATGGAGTTGAGGCTCCTCTCCCCCCCTCCTCCCCCCCCGCAGCAAGGAACTTGTGCTGATGCTCCAGTCCCACAGCCCTCCCCATGATGTTGGAACACCAGAGCCAGTTTCCCTTTGTGGAGGCGAGAGGAGTGAGCCTTGTGGCTGGATCTGACTTGCAGAGGGAGGAAGTGACTCCATGCACTCCTGCTCTCCTTCTCCCCCATCTGGAGGAACAGCAGCCTAGGAAACCGCTCACCTGGAGGCTTTCCCTGCTGCTTCCATTGGATGGAATCATGGCCAGTGGAAGCAGGAGGGGTGGTGCCTGGGAGTGATGGGAGGACAGAGCCAGATAAATGCCCCCACATGCCTAGACCTTGCATCTCCCTGATGCTGAGACCACGCATCCTCATCCCGCTTTCGTACCCTTGCTCCTGCCTGGATCTACCATCCCACCTGCTGCCCAGATTCCCCACCCTGCTCCTGCACTCTGTCTCCCGGTTAGACCCTCCACACTCAGACCGATCCTACACCCAACCTCCCACCCAGATCCCACACCTCCACTTTGTCTTTTACCCATGTTGTCATAATGGGTGGTTGGCTGGTGGTCTGCAGAAAGGTCTGCATTGAGTGGAGTGAGCTATGGTTCAAAAAGTTTGAGACAGTCTTATGGCCTTATATTCCATACTATTTTGTGTGCAGAACCATTCATTCCTATTAACTGAAATATTCTCCCTGTGTAATGGACTTTTACATCAAAATATGTTGTGGCTAAGATGAACTGCAAAATTGCCACTTGCAAGATTGCTCTGTTGAAACTTTCTTTAGTAGCATAAAATAGGATTAACAAAATTAAATGTGTGTAGCTCAGTTAGATCACTCAACATCCATGTCAAGAAGAGAACACACACATTAACAAGCAAAGATGCTTGCTGTAGTGCTGAGATCAGACTTGTAACATCAGACATTTCATTAGTACCTAGAATAACTGGCTCTAGAACAGAATAAAAATAGCTCTCTGCCTAGCAGGTGCCTTCCTACGTCCAAATATTTCTGTTGTATAGGTTGATTCCTTGTGCAATGTGGCAACTTCTATTGCAAACATCTGTTAACATTAACTTTTTTATATAATATATATAAGGACTTTGCCTTCATCTGATTTATTTATTTTGAGTCTAAATTCTCTATCTTGAGCTGCCTTCTCCTTAAAGCATGGCTCTGATCTGAAACGAGGTAATATAAAATGGCATTTTCATACTCATCTGCTTCATGTTTATGCATTCAATTGCATCTGTCTGTTTACTGACAAAGTATATTTTTACTACCCTTTGCTCTTATGACTTTGGCAAACTCAACATAACTAATAGAGCAGGAGTTGTATTTGTTTTCTTTTTGCAAAATAATTGTTTATTAAGTTTGGTCTATTACACTTTTTAAAGCCCACTTAGCGTCCATGTGGACCAATATTTCAGTTATTTGAAGCAAAATGAATGGATTTTCCTAATACTAGCAAATAATACATTGAAACTGTCAGCAGTATTCAGTTTTTAGAAGATACCTACATTTCCATATGACTTAAAATCAATAATTCGGAATGTGCTGTATATTGCACTTCTTCATTAGGTTAAAAACCTTGTTTTGTTGTGCAGTATGTTAGTCTGATTCTGCACTCCTATGGACTGGTGCAAACACACTGAAATAACTCATCTGAAGTCAGTGAAGCACATGTGTAAGAGCAGAATATGCTCCTATTTTTCCATTTTTATGCCTCTGGTTATAGCTATTGGTAATTTTAAGATTATACTTAATTGAAACGTGTTCAGTGTACTGATTTTTATGCATATCCTTTAAAATGTCCAATCTTCGTTCATTTGACATTTAATATGATATTGATGACCGTCATGTATTCCTGGGGAAATTCTGTGCCACTGCACATGCACAGAATTTATGTTCTGCGCAGACCCTTTTATCACTGTGGAAAATATGTTCTGCTGGAAAGGTGCTGCAGCTTTTCTTTTTGTCCACTAGGAGACATTATGTGGCCAGAACAGAAAGCAACAGCAGAAGAGAAAGGACAGCTGCTGGATGAAGGGTCACAGGGTGGGGTTCAGAAGACCCTGTGTGGGCACAGACTGGGGCAAGGACTGAATGGGAGTGGGGATGCAATGGGGATGGTGGTGGCTGAGTGGTGGACAGGGTCACATGGAGCTTGGGGAGGGAGTGCAAGGACACTTGGGGGTTGGAGGGTGCAGAGACACATGGGGGGCAGGCAGATGTCCCTGACTGACTGAGAGAAGCTAGGGGTCAGCCAGCATCTGCATGGGGAAGACTCCCTAATAATACTTCTCTGCTCAAAAATGCCCAGTTTCACACTTTTCCCATTCACACCCAACAACCTTCCAAGTTCATACACAGGCTCCTTCCCTGCAATTACTACCTTCCCTCAACTCCTCAGTTATTCTTGAGTTTCCCAAGCCATTATTTTTCTTCTGGGGGGGTGTGGGAAATATGTTTCTGTATTTAAATTACTTGTTACTCAAAGTTCTGTGTTAATATGACTAGTAAGGAATCTGTTAAAAATTCCTTGTTGTCTGTATTGTTACAGACACAATTCCTGACATTGATTTTGAAATAAATTACCAAAATAATTGAAACTGGTGTGATTTATATTGTTATTTTGACAAAATATGCAGAATTTTAAAGATTTTTGGTGCAGAATTCCCCCAGAAGTAATCATGTGCATTGATATATGTATGCAAATGTTTATATTTTTCACAGGGCTACACTAATTTCTCTTTTCGGTAACATGGATACTTAGATTATTACTCTTGTGCTTTTTGAGTACTGGCACTTAAGGAACAAGCTTAATTCCATTGGAAAAAATATTAGCTCTGCTCTTTATGCTCTAGGCAACAGAAGAGCAAAAAAATCTGTCTGTGGATTGTAGTGTGACTTAGTTAATTCTTTTACTTGACCCAGACATGCCATATCTTCAAAAACCTATTTTGGTAAACTGTTTTTTTAATTTGTCAAACTACTTTGATATTTTCCAGTCACAAAAGAGTTTTGGAAACACCCTGTAATTAATTTTGTAGATGGTCTTTTTCTTTTGGTTGTCAGGAGAAAAAGATGATCTGCCTATAAATGTACAAGCCCCTGCATCCTATTTGCAATAAATCGATCTCCTCTTTATTAGGCATTATGGACAATTAGAAGTCAGCTGGAGCTGCGTGTGAGCATTAGACCCATGATCTGTGGAACCTAAGCCTGCAAAGAGCTTACTAGAGTGGAACAAATAATGGATTTTTTTGGTTTGGGGCTGAGTTTAAAAGTTTTAAGGCAAGCTAATTTTTTGAAAATTTTAATCATGCCAAGAAACTTGAGAAACTTTCATTTCAAATTGACTGAAACATTTCAGGTTAAGTCAAAATAATCTGTTTATATTTCTATTCATTTTGAGTATTTATTTTTAATTTGGCACTTTTGGGGTATTTTTCTCCTTTTTGTAATGTTGTTTTTTTTAAATTGACCAAATTTGATAATGAAATGCCATTTTGCTTCAAAATGGCAAGAAATAAATGTTTCTGGTTGGTTGAAATGACATTGACTTTTTCTACATAAAAATTTCAAGTTATTTGGGCTGAAACTGTGAAAATTTCACCCAAATTCGGGAATAGATTTTGAAGTGCTAAAAAAGCATTTTTGGTGAAGTTTCTGATGAAAATTTTCACCCCATACTAGGGCTGAATATATTCTGTGAGGTATTTGATGGCACTCAGACCACTGAGCCCCAAGAAAGCAAAATACTTTTAAAAACGTTCATGATTATGCCAAAATTTGAAACTTTCTTGCATAGTATGAGGTAATAGAAACAGAAAAATTAAGTCTTATTGGTGGATTAAACATGACCTGGTAAACTGTCCTAGTGCACTTTAATGCTGAGTCATTTTGTTCAATCTTTTTACTGTGAGCCTATAAATATATTTCTAAATAAATTTAAAATATTTCAACTGAAACTGTTTTTAACTTATTTAATAAAACTGTAATATGGCTTTATTTTTAAATCATAAATATTTGGAATTTGTGGGTTTTTAATGCTTGTTCAAGAACATGTAAAAGTAAAATAGATTAAATGTTGGCTCATCTACTGCATTTCTCTGCAAATGCAGGATTTTTTTCCTATTCTAGATCTTTCCAGTGCTTTATCCATTTATAAACAATTTCATAACCCTTCTTTTGTATTTGGTATATAGGTATGCAGTTCCTAATCAGTTGTGTCTTGTGTTTTGGAAGACTCTCCACATCCATTTAACAGGAGCCCTTAGATTTTATAAATACATTATCCTTGTATTTGTCAGTCATGCTGATAATCTGTAATGACACAAAAATTGTGGACCTCCATTCCACATGAGATCAGTGCTGTAGGTCCAAATATCTAAATTTCATCCAGAATATTCAGATGCCATTCACTTTTATATTTAAACCAATAGAGGGACTTCAGTGTCATATTCCTTAGGATTTTCTCTAGTGAAAAGTAATCAGTATTCCAAGGCGGTATAGAAGTGTCACTGGTTTTTCCTTCCCTCTATACACTTATTCTGTGAAGACACTTTTGAACAGAATCTGGGCCTATCTTCTTTAGTAGTTGATGAAGCAAGAGTAGTCCAATGACATGGAAGAATTTTTCTGCTATTTTTCTACTCTGTTCTTCCCACCAACCAAATTGAAGCAACACTTATTTCTAGCTGAGTCACTTAAAAAGTCTGGTTTTGTCTTAAACCAGAGAACAATAATGTAGTAGAAGAAAACAGAAATCCACAAAGTAAGTTTAAAGCAAGGAAATACAGGCAGTGTTCTAAATTTAGCTCTTCACTGAAACCTCCTAAGGTTACGTCTACACTGGCAGCTTCTTGCGCAAGAACTGTTTTGCGGAAGAGTTCTTGCGCAAAAAGTCTTCTACAAGAGTGCGTCTACACTGTCATGTGCTTTTGTGCAAGAGCATCCATGGCAGTGTGGATGCTCTCTTGCGCAAGAAAGCTCTGATGGCCATTTTAACCATAGGGGCTTCTTGCGCAAGAAATTTATGTTGCCTGTCTACACTGCTCTCTTGTGGAAGAGCTTTTGCGCAACAGGGCTTATTTCTCATGCTGAGAGGAATAACTCTTCTGGAATAAGCCCTGTTTTACAATGCTATACTGTAAATTTACTCGCACAAGAATATGTGTGCAGTGTAGACAGCAGGCAAGTTTTTGTGCAAGAACAGCTGTTCTTGCTCAAGAAGTTGCCAGTGTAGACATAGCCCTATAGTAAAACCTTCAGGCTACGGCTACACTGCAGGCTTTTTGCGCAAGAAGCTTTTTGCGGAAGAGATCAAGTGTGTCTGGTATTTTTTTTAAGCCACCTGGTAACCCTAGCTGTAGCGAGGGAGGAAGATTGTACAAGCAGTAGGAAATTGTAATATGATAGCTATCTATTAAATCATGAATAGTGTAGCGAAGGTGAACAAGGAAGTGTTTGTATTCCCCTTTATATAAAAAGAACCAGGGGTAACTCAATTAAATGGATAGGAAGTTGATTTGAGATGTTAAATTTAGATTAATTAACTGAGTAGTTGATGGGATTTCCATCGACTATTTGATTAGTCTATAAGGGCGCCTTTGCCCTGCTGGGCTCTTGCTACAGTTCAAAAGCGGAAGCCCGGCAGAGAGCGCAAGGCTTCCTTTTGAAATGTACAAGAGCCACATACTATACATTTCAAAAGGAATCCCCAGAGGGAGCGTGAGACCACCGGGAGACCCCTCTGGCCCTGCGCTCCCTACAGGGCCTCAGCCTTTAAAATGTACAAGAACTCTGGTGGGGCTGTTGTACATTTCAAAAGGAAGCCAGGCAGGGAGAGCAGGGCCAGCGGGGGAATCCCCAGTGGGGCTCTCCTACACTTTAAAAGCAGAATCTCAGCAGAAGCGGTGCAAGCGGAGACTGCTTCAGTCCCTGCTCATGCCGTTTCCATTGTGTCTCTACCTCCCTTGCCCCCCATGGAGATGGTGCTGAGGTGAACCGGCTTTTAAGCTGGTTGCCCCTCCTGCCCCCCCCCCCCCCCCTGCCTGCCTCTCTCTGACAGAGGCAGCAAGGGAGGGGGAAGTGACTAGTCACATCACTGGTCAACTAGTCTCTTGCATCCCTATTGTGAAGGCCAAAAATATAACTGGGTTCAAAAAACAATTAGATAAGTTAATGGAGGATAAGCCCATCGGTGGCTATTAGCTAAAGAGTCAGAGATGCAACCATATGCTCTGAGTGTCCCATTAACTTCTGACTGGTGGATGCCTCATTAGGAAAAAGAAATCATACACAGTCATAACATTTTAAATACTCTACTGGATACCTCCATGAAAAATAATAGACACACAGAAGATTGATCATTCATTCTCTCTCAAACTGACAATTTGCCTTTTATTGAGAATTATGTGGTACATATATATTTGTGAAATTGAAACAAATCTATACCAAAGTACAAAGTCAAACATTGACATCTTAAAGGTATATCCCACTGTTCTCATTAGCATCTACCTCATCTGTTTGCCCTTGAACTTTCATGTGAAATGTTCTATATTCCATCAGGAAACAGAAAAGTTTTGTTTCTAATTTTGATGATAAAGCAGCTACTCCAAGTAGATCAGGCTTTAAAAAAAAAACCCAAACCCAAACAAACCAGGGCCAGAAACCTTAATTTAAAAGTATAAGGCTTCACTGTCAGTCACACTAAAAATCTCTGAGACTTTGGGTTCACAAGGAGATTTTTTTTGGTTTGTTTTACTTTTCTATAATAGTGATATTACAGTGACAAATGATAGTGTTATTTTTTAAATTAAGTACTAATGAAAATGCCTGTGTAAGCGAGAAGCAGTAAATTTAAACCTAACGCCCAGTGCTAGCATGCTGATTTGTGAAATATTGCTCTACGATAATTTTAAAGCCCATTTCAAAGTGGGTGACCCAACAGGCCAAACATTTTGCATTGGTCCAGTGTGTGCATGTCACTCTGTCCTTCTGATTTTCTGTAGCTTCCATTTCAGTAAGCCAGTAGGTAAGAAACTAGACAATAATCTTGTCTTTTTAAGGAAGAAAGGACTCGTGACCACTTCAGTGTCCTGCCTCTCTTGAAAAGGAGAGCTACAGAGTCACGTCCATAACCAGAACAAACCCCACACGTGTTCTGCGATAGTGGAGGGACACCCATCTAGAGAACTGGGATTTGAACTCTTAAATCCTGCAGCCTAAGTTTGGAAGGATTGATTCCTTTCCTCCCCTTTATCTGTATTGTGGAATATTTTTTAAAAAGTGGGGGGAAATTCATACCTGGTGTAAAAAGTTGCAAGCTGCTTACAGTAGCTCTGAATCTGACCCATAGCTTAGTGTCAGGAGAGGTAAATTTTGGATCTAGCCTACCAAGTAAAAATTTATTGGACTGATTTGCTGCACTTCTCTGACTGAAATCACTCTGTCAAAATGGCACAGTTCACCCCTACAATACCATTAAGCCTTCATACACAAGTGCTACTTAGAAACTGGCTTTTAAATATTAATTCATATGAGGAATGCAATAAGTACTTATTTTCCCCTCTACCACATTGCTTTTGTTCACTGGTCAATGAGGGTTCCTTTGAAGAACTCCTTTTTGGCAAGTGTTGAGCAAGAGCACTGATTAACGAAGTCCTACAATACTACAGCTTCCTGAGTGGTAACATTTTCTCTCCTTTCATTTTCATGTTCAGAACAATCTCACTATTTTGCACGGTTATTTGGTTTGCAGAAGCCTCGCTCACATGTGCCACTGTCAGCTGCAATCATACAGCATTGGCTCTTAGCGGCAGTACTCTCGTTCAATAGTCGCCATGAGCTCTTCTTCAGAGTAATCATACGATATTGGGGATTGCATCTCGGACTTCTTGTTATTTCTGACTGGACACCTGCAGAGTGACACAACGGAGTATCTTTACTGTAAAAGAAAATCAAGTTCTGTGAAGCACAGGAAGCCTTTTATCTGTAACAGGGAATGAGCAACAGTGTTTATTTGTGTGTGAAAAAAGTCAAAACAAACCCACTCATCTTACTGCACCATGAATTCTGTAATGGTAAATAGTTTTCTGACCCAAAAGATCTTATTAGTGATAGATGAGAAACAATGATCTTTGAAACTGGAATGACTTTCACTGGTATAATCAGAAATGGAATGTTCATATTATGGATGCTGACGATCTTAGAATTCAATCCTGTTCTTTCGTGCCTAGGTTAGGAGGGGTGGGAGAACAGTGGAGAGGTTTTGACTTTGCAAAAGTTACCACAGACACATGTGGCAGAGTCAGGCCAGGGAGCTACTGCAGAGGGGGAAAAAGGCAGCCCTAAAAGGGAAAAATCCTGTAATTAGAAGCAGAGGGCTGCAGGCCAATTAGATGCAACTGGGAGGGAGCTGGCTCAGGCAGATTGGGGCCAGCTGACTCCTCTGCTGGCTGACTGAGGGCCTTTAAAAGCCTCAGCAGTTGGATGCTGATGAGAGGGAGAGGACAGAAAAGAGGTGGTGGAGGAGAGGCACAGGCAGCGAGCAACAGAGTAGAGAAAGAACAATCCATAACAGCATTAGGCAGAAGCAGCTAGGGAGGGAGTCTGAGGCAGCATTGCCAGGCTTCCTACCACAGAGACCTGCTGCAAACCCCAAACTTTGGGGTTAGGAGCAAGAGGCCTGCCCAGTAGTGGCCTGGGTAAGAGGGGCCCTTGCCATACACTGTTAACTCTATCAGGTAAACAAACCTCTTTTACCACTCCATGGAGCAGACAGCAGCCTTCTGGGCAGGCAACAAATCTACATTTTTCTGAAGCTATAGAGTTGGAGGGACAAGACTCTGGCCCTGAGCTTTAGGCTTGTGTTCTCTTAAGGATGCACAATCCTGCACTCCCTGTATCCTGTTATCCCAGAAAGTAAAGGGGGACAAGGGCCAGCTTTGGCTCTAAAGCAGCAGCTCTACCTTGCTAATAGGCTACAGACAGGCACTTGTGAGGGACCTAGATATGCAGAGGTACTGTGAGATTCAAAGGGCAAGTGTGCATGTGGTAGACTACAAAAATATTGCATGATTTTGAACTTTTGACATCAACAATACTGGACTGTTCAATAAATCCTGTATTATATTCCTTATTCTTGCATTATTGCCCTCTGTGGCCTCACGCAAGTCCATTTGCATCTATGCCTCAGTTTCCCAGTTTGTGAAAGAGGGACAATATGTACCTCACCTCCAGCAGTGCTGGGAACATTAATTCATACATGTTTGTGCAATACTATACCAAGTGAATGCTTCTATGCCCCCTGAGTTACTGCTAGTGCAGTGCTACACATGAAAGTCATTACAAGGATAAAATAGGTTAATCCTCAAGAGGCTTTAATTTCACCAAACTGAACAAATCTGTGTTTTCTCAGAGACTGGAAGTGGGTTTATTTTTGGTATTTGTCCAAAGGGGAAGAAAAACAAATAGAAAAGAGACCATCACAGCCTGTGTATATGGTACTCAGGCAGAAAGATTTTCCATATCAACTAGTTTGGCTCCAACAATGTTCCATCAAATGGGACTTGCTCCCCAGTGTCTATAAATTTAAGCACACAGAACTGCTGGTAAACCTAAGTCAATGGTGTGAAAGCAGGGACAAATGGATTGCAGCCACTGCTAGCACCTTTTGGAGAGGAAAACTGAGGGCATGTCTCTCAGATGAAACCATATCACAGATAGTTTGCATGCTGGACAGTAAGAGGCATCTGGAACACACTGAATTGGAAATGCAGTGAGGCTCCCCTGAGAAGTATTCTCTAAGGCTACATCTAGACTGGCATGATTTTCCGGAATGCTTTTAACAGAAAAGTTTTCCGTTAAAAGCATTTTCGGAAAAGAGCGTCTAGATTGGCACGGATGATTTTCCGCAAAAGCACTTTTTGCGGAAAAGCGTCCCTGGCCAATCTAGACGCGCTTTTGTGCAAAAAAGCCCCGATCGCCATTTTTGTGATCAGGGCTTTTTTGTGGAAAACAAATCTCAGCTGTCTACACTGACCCTTTTGCGCAAAAGTTTTGCGCAAAAGGGACTTTTGCCCGAACGGGAGCAGCATAGTATTTCCGCAAAAAGCACTGATTTCTTACAGTAGGAAGTCAGTGCTTTTGCAGAAATTCAAGCGGCCAGTGTAGACAGCTGGCGAGTTTTTCCGGAAAAGCGGCTGATTTTCTGGAAAACCTGGCCAGTCCAGACACAGCCTAAGGTTATATCTAGACTGCAGGCTTCTTTCAGAAGAAGCTTTTCTGGAAGAGATCTTCTGAAAAAACTTCTTCCAAAAGAGAGCATCCACACCGCTAAAGCGCATTGAAAAAATGATCTGCTTTTTTGAAAGATAGTGTCCACATTGAATGGACCCATTTGAACTGTGATTACTATTGACGGAGTGGCCACCAGGGCACCTGTACTTTTTCCTCTTTCCTCCTCTTCTGAAAGAACTTGCTCTTCCTGGTCCACACACACCTTTTTCCGAAAGAGCTCTTTTGGAAAAAGGGTTCTTCCTCGTAGAAAGGGGATTACCAATGCCAGAAAAACCCCTCTATTCTTTTAATTTTCTTTCTGAAAAAACTCTGTAGTGTAGACATACCCTAAGAGATTAAATATTTTTGTATATCATTAGCTTTCATTGGTGGACCAGAGTTTTTCACCCTGTACAAGAATACATTCATGATGTCCCCAAAAGGGGCATATACCTGATGGCAATCACAGCCCTACAGTAATTGCTTGGAAGCAATTTGGTCCATTGCATTGCACTGATTGTATGTCAACCCTTATAAAACAAAACATTCTCCTCTGTCTAGTTGTCCATTGGAAAAAAATTCCCTACAAAGCTGATCGGTCTGTGGAAATGTCAGGAGCTACAGATGTTAACAAGAGCTTTATTTTTTCAAACAAGCCAACTGGCATGGCAGACAGGTCATGTGAATTTCCTACCAGAGAGGCTGTTAATTTCCTTTGCATAATTTCTTCAACTACAAATTTTACTGGCAACAAGAGGTATTTAGCAGTAATCCTGGCCCAAATACTTTGCAATAGAAAGGGGAAACATAGAAATATGACTTAAACCCACAGCTGGGATGTGATTTACTGATTACAGACCAAGTGAATGGCGCTCTGCTAGGTTAATATGAATACAGAATAGCCCCTGGCTAAATTTCCAAGTTTCCACTTGGAGACCTACAAAACATTTAGTTGTTTCTATTAGTGTTTCCATAACTTAGGATATGTCAACAAGTGGCAGTAGCTGTTGTGATGGTAGAAGCTTTCCCACTAACACAGTACCGTACATGTTTCCACTTATGCTGGCAAAACTTCTTTCACTCAGGAATGTGTTTTTCAACACCCCTAAGCAACATAAGTTTTGCTGACATAAGTGGTAATGTAGATATGGCCTTAGTCTTCACAGTGACCTTTAGATGAGAGAAACTCTCTAAATAAAAAGCCCAACACACTGCAAAACACATCAGCTGCCAACTTTTTTTCTTTTTCAACAATCATCCATGAATGACTGAACAGGATGGAGCATAACACTGATAGGTTGGGCAGAGTGTCTCAAGCTGTGGTCCGGGGGCCACCAGTGGTCCATGAGCTCTATTCAGGTGGTCCACAGATAGTTCTCTCTATGATGAGCACCTGGGCAGCCACATAAGAAAACGAAGGGCTGCCCACCTAATTAATGGCTCAGAGATGTGGTTCCACTAATTAGATGCCTGGACCCTCACATGTAAGGGGAATAGAGGATAGTTGGGAGTGAGTAATGAGCTGAGATAGGGAAAATAGGAGGTAGTTGGAGTGAGAGGAATTTGGGACATGCAGGACTGAGGCAGCCAAAGAAAGAGGCGATTTTCCTCAGCTTTAGGGGTGCAGCTTCCAAGGAGAGACAGCCTCCTTCCTAGCCTCCAGTTGGGGGGTCCCATGGTGAGGGAGAGAGACTCCTACTGATACGAAAGTTTGAGTTGTGTGCTTTTATTTATAGAACAAAAAAGCATTAATTACTAAAAGATTTTTATATGGTGTATTTATCAAAGAGCTTTACAATGTTAGCTAATGGTACAAACAACATTTAGAAAGATCGCAAAGTGGTCTGCCAAGACCATCAGCAATTTTCAAGTGGTCTGCCAAAAAAACCAAGTTTGAGACCCACTGGACTGGGGCAAGGCTGGAAAAAGGCAAACAGCACCATAGCCTTTTATTCTTTTTCCCGCAACCCTCATGGAAATGTTCTCTAGAATGTAATAGGGATGAAACGGATACTGTCCTGCAGAAATGAAACACTCTGCTATAAAAGTCTGAGTTCTCTGGTCTGCTAAGGCCACTTTGTGCTGCTTAAACAGCCAGAGATGACCAGGAGAGAATTCCTCTTGCTTAAGAGAATTCTTGGGTGGAAGAAAGCTGGCAGCTCCTGTATCAGCCAGTTCCAGTGTTAAGCAAGAGATGGGGGGTATCAGGAGAATTTTGGGGCCAGCGCCTGGGTGGGACAGGTCAGCTAAAGCAGAGCTCTACTATCCTGATCTTGCATCACTATAACTAGAGGCACAGAAGTTAAAGTGGGTCCTCAGCTGCTCTAATGTACCATTGGGCCAGGTAGTTGAGGATCTGTAACTGCTTCCAACCAATTGCAACTGCTTCCAGCCAATGTCTAAGCTCAGCCTATTCCATTGAATGGGTTACTAATATACCTCCTGACTTTGGAACAGGCAGCCACAGACATTTTTCAACCGCATTTGCCCCTCAACAATGGTTCAGCTCCTGTCCCATGGGGCTGGGCACTGCCCCAGACATTGTAACCCAGCCAATGGAGTCACAGTGCCACTTAGCTTTGGCCTTCATTAAACCTCTGAGGCTGAGATCTGTGCTCCTTCAGAGCTTGGTGGGAAGTAGCAGTGAAGATGTGGGTGGTCCAAAGGGACGTGTCATGGGGCAGATGAGGCAGGGACCTTCTCTACCCTGAGACACACACTATGTGCTACTGAAGTGATTTGCTACTGCCACACCCGGTACTAAAGTTGTAACGTGAAAGGAAGATGTGCCTTTCTGCCAAACGTCACAGTGACATGCTACTTACACGTTGGTGGAGGTGTTGTTCTCTGGGTCCTGTGTGCTTCTTATTAGGGAGGCCTTGGAAAGAATAAATGGAGCAATGTTATGCTATTGAAATACAATGTTTGCGAATATATAGCATGTGAAGAGCCACGCAGGCCCTGCTTTAGCATTCTGTGCAATCTCAGTGAAGGCAATTAAGATTCCCAAGGTGTGAGAAACAGGTCTGTTGGCTTTTAGTTATAAAAACCTCACTAGGTCACCTTCAGCATCTAAGGAGCCTGGGTAGGTGCCTTTGATCTGAGGATATGAAATCATTAAACATTAATTAATTAATTACACCTCCTAATTTCCTTGAGGGAAGTAAACATTATAATGCCCAGTTCAAAAATGGATAAATTGAGGCTCAGAGTAGTGATGTGATTAAAGAAAAAGTTAAAAAGAAAGCTGCTCTGATTCTTCTCTGACTAGTCTGAACATGTCCCTGAGGAGAAGCACCTCCTGCCAGGTACAAACCATGAATCGCTCCTACAACTGGCACCTATAGTTACAGTTGTATTGCTATGCCCTGAACAGGCAGTACTGGCATCAACTCTCTCGCTGAGCGCTGACTTAATCTGTGACCCTACACATCTTGGACCAGGCCCAGCATTCATTTTCTGCTAAAGGATGAAACTTGACTTGCACAAATGTTTATGAAAAACAATGTAAAAGGACAGCAGGTGCAAGGGAGGGGAAATCCCATTTACAAATGTTTTTTCTCATGATTGTCCAGCACCAGTTAATACACATTTTGGGGATGTTACTGCGAAGAGCGACTGGAGAGTCAGGTGGAAGCAAGCAGTGCAGAAGCAGTGCAGGAAACACTCTCTGAAATGCTGCAGCAATACAGTGCAGTTCTATTTTTTAAAAATGGAAGCACTGCCTTCCATGTTCCTGGTTCTGCAGTGTTGCTGTTTAGAGTTAGGGAGCGTATATTGAACAGGGATTGAAGGAAGAAAGCTGCCTTGAATATTCCTGGTTTCTGTGAGAAAAGAGAAAAATTGATGTGGTAAGAGTTTCCTGTTCTCAGTCCATCTTTTCTTTAATTAGAGATGGACTGGGCCCCCACCCTCCACAGGAAACATACAAGGGAGGACAGAAGGTAAGAAATCTTTGCAAGGATCCCCTTTGTTCGGGGGGGGGGGGGTGATTTGCTCCCTGTGGAACATGTGTGGGGCCAATGCCTACATCCTGGGATCCACAGATATCTGCATGGATCCTGAGAGAGTCAAACCATCCAAGCAAAAACATAGGCACAGAAATCAGGATGTGTGGGGGTGCTGTAGCATCCCCAGATTTTGGGCCCAGTGTCTCCACCACTGGTCCTGCATCAGGAACCTAGCTGCCAGTCTATGCTCAGCGGCTCCGTGATCCTGGCCGCCAGCCAGTGCCTGGGGGCTCAGATACCTGCAGTCCTGGTTTCTCCACTGCTGCCCATCCCAGCTGCCAGACCTAGGCCTGGGGCTCTGCAGCAGACTCCAGCTGTGGCCCCAGCTTGGAGCAGGGAGGGGTGAGGACACGGGAAAGAGAAGGGTGCAGCTCAGCACCCCTACTCTAAAAATTATTCGAGCACCACTGAGCAGAGAGCCTGTCCCTCTGAGCTGTCCATGGTTCTAGTGACCCCCTACCCATGTGCCTTCTCACTTCAGTGCATTGGGTTTTCAGAACTAGCAGCTGGTCTTTGAAGGGTGCCTTTAAGAGAAAGCCTCAACACAGGAGGTGGGAGTGGGCACTGAAATACTGGACTGGCATCCTTCTGGGTGGATCTGAGTGTAGCATCCTTCTGGGTGGATCTCTGCAGGACTGGCAAGTGGGACAATGAATACTCACCTTAATTGGCCTGTCCCTGTCCTCTCACCTGCTCTATATTCCCATGTAGATCTCTGAGGTTCAGGAAAGTGCTACCACACAACTCTCTGACCCTACACTATTTCATACAAGGGCCTTTCCGTGCACGGCTCCTGGGAATACAACACCCAGGTCCCAAGTTCCCAGAATTGAAGAGTGTATGAATCATGGGATTTCTCAAAGCACAGAGTCTGAGGTCAGCCAAATCTGAATTAGTTAAAACTTACTCAGACATGATCAGACCTGGGATTTGTTTAGGCCCAATGACATGGATTTGAAATAAAATGAAAATTCAGCAGCCTCATGGAGATGTGCTATACTGTTGAGAACAATGTCAAAGCTAGAATGTTCCTTTTCATCTTTCTTCCCCCAATTCCTTCTGTCTGTTTGCTCTTACAGGAGGCTGGGTGGCTTCCAGTAACAGTCTCACCCAGCAAGGCCAATCTGAATTTTTGAACAATGGTCCTGAATTGGCCAACCCTTATGGATTTGAAATAAAATGAAAATTCAGCAGCCTCATGGAGATGTGCTATACTGTTGAGAACAATGTCAAAGCTAGAATGTTCCTTTTCATCTTTCTTCCCCCAATTCCTTCTGTCTGTTTGCTCTTACAGAAGGCTGGGTGGCTTCCAGTAAGAGTCTTACCCAGCCAGGCCAATCTGAATTTTTGAACAATAGTCCTGAATTGGCCAACCCTGATTCAGAGGAAGCGTCCAGCTCAGGTGAAATGGACAAACCTGCATAAGGTTTTGGCCCCAGCTTTCATTTTCTTTTCAGGAAAATGAAAAAGTAGCTTTGTCTCCAGAGAAGGAAAAAGAAAAGGATTTCCCTGGAAAAATGAGAGGGCAAAGGAAAACAATTATAGCATAACACTAAAGCCTCCTCTCCACTTTATAGCCTGTCATTTAGCTGTGCTTGGCTTTTCAGGCTGAGATGGCTTGAAATATACTTACTGGGGTGCAGCACCTTACATTAGGGTACGCCTACACTGGGTGTGACATACTTGAGATAGCTTTAGGCCTGGGGCACACCTAAAATGTTAGCTTGACCTAGCTACATAGCTCAGGAATGTGAAAAATGTCATGTTATGTGCAGCACTGGGCAACTCACCCCCCCTATAGATTAGGAATGTTAAATATCGGTTAATTGAATATTCAGTTAACCTCATGAATTCTTATCAGTTACTCAACTATTCTACAGTCCCCGAGGGTGGGCGGCAGCCAGTGCACTCCAGCCCCACTCCAGAGTTGCTCCCTGCCATTCCATGCTGTTGCCTCTGTATCAGAGGTAGCAGCATGGCATGTTGGGCAGGAGCTGATCCCCAACGGGAACCAGTTTAAAAACCAGCTCCCCTTGCAGACCGGCTGCCTGTCACCCCACACTGCTGCCTCTGATACAGAGACGGTAGCATGGGGTGGCAGCAGCCCCTGTCCAGGGGTAGGGAGTGTCTGAGCTCCTGGACCTGGCCCAAGCTGGAACTGAGCCAGGCTGCCTGTCTGCTCGACTCCTAATGCACTTTAAATGCAGGGCCTCAGTAGGGGTAAGTCCCAGACCTAGTGTAAGCCGGAACTAAGCTGGGCTGCTGGCCAACCTGCTAAAAAAAATTACTGGGGATGGGGGGGGAGGAATGCGTGTAGTCTATAGCATTAACTGATAAACTTTTGCTTATTGGCTAATCAACTATACTATTACATCACTACTGTAGATGCAGCTAGGTCAAGTGTCTTCCATTGACTTAGCTACTACTGCTAAGGAGCTGGAGTTCCCACAGTGATGAAACATCCTTTCTGTCACTGTAGTGTCTACTTTGTGCCACTAAAACACATGGGCTACGTCTAGACTGGCTGCTTGAATTTGCGCAAGAACACTGACGATCTAATGTAAGATTGTCAGTCTTCTTGTGCAAATACTATGATGCTCCCACTCAGGGATAAGCCCTCTTGCGCAAATGTATTTGCGCAAGAGGGCCAGTGTAGACAGGGGAGGACTGTTTTGTGCAAAAAAGCCCTGATGGTGAAAATGGCAATCGGGGCTTTCTTGCCCAAAACCGTGTCTAGATTGGCACGGATGCTTTTCCGCAAAAAGTGCTTTTGTGCAAAAGCATCTGTGCCAATCTAGACGCTCTTTTCCGCAAATGCTTTTAACGGAAAAACTTTTCAGTTAAAAGCATTTGCGGAAAATCATGCCAGTCTAGGCATAGCCTTGTAGTACTGATATACTCTTAATCTTGCTAGCTAGGCTACCTGAACTGTGAAGCTACAGAAACAAGGGCTGTACAAACCTACCCAGAAGCCCAGGTAATTTACTTACAGGACTAACCCACATAGAAACGGGCACTGCTTCTGCTGCTCTGGTACCCAATGCAGATTGATTATCTGAGCTGGCCTTTTATCTATTTGAAATACATTCACGCACTGTGATGGCAGTGTAGTTATATACACCCTTAGTCACCTGTTTTAATTCCAGCCCAGATACAGGAGTATTTTGCACCAAGTTAATTAAATTGATCTTGGCCCCAATTTAGTTAGATCTGGGCAACCCCGGTGCCTGGAGGTAGTTTGTTTGAGTACAGCTTTTGACCACATAAGGGGTGTTCACTGACTTCACTATTGCTGTTTTAAATACTGATTTTGTTACACTAGTGAAAAATATGTATGCAGACAAATGGTGAGTACTGATTGCCTCCAGGCTGGGATGGACGTCAGGTCCCCATGACCTTACAAATCCTTGGCCTCTCTCTGCTATGACTGCCTAAAGATAGGCAAATGAGTGACAGTGGCTTTGATGATAAGGGCACTGGTCGACCCATTAGTAACTAGGAGCCAGATTTTTAAAGGTCTTTAGGTGTCTAAAGATGCAGCTTAGTGCCTACGGACCTTTAAAAATCTGACTCCCAATTTCTTTCACACAGGCCACCAGGAAAATTACACATTTTTTTTTTAGCAATGCTGTTTGGCCTGAGAAGACTTCCTAGCCTGACACGAAGCAGTCGCACAAGTAGAGGCCCATCGATGGGGACTGCATGGAGAAATTGAGAATTTGGCACCATCTACACATTTTATGGAAGAACAGAGAAAACTGCTCCCCATGACTCTCTACACGGATGAGGTATTGGTGGTAATGTTTTACGGAGCAATCTGTCATCTAGCTGCTGATTTTGGCTTTTGGCAGTGAATTCTCCTCTCCAC